TCTGGATGGCAGTCGTGAGTCAGTCAAGTGTCAAGTAAAGTCGGCGGAATAGCGCGAGCTCCGGTGTGGGGAGCAAACCATTTCTTACAAATCATCGCCGAAGTCGCAACCACTACTTCGTACTGTTGTGCCCAGCGCGGGCTTGCGACTAGTTGGTTTGGAGGTGACAGCGTTGCGAATGACCGAGGGTCCTCGACGTCTGTCTCACCGTCCAGGAGCGACACTGACTCACGCTGCTATCTGGTGTTCACGAGGTGTTTGTCGGGCTTGAAACGGAGCGTCTCTGTAAGTTTGTATCCCTGGTGATGTTTGTGCCTGGAGAGCACTATATAAGTGGTGCTCTTCAGGCACAATCTTCCTCAGCCTACTCAAGCTCAACTGATGAGGGGTGAATTCCCCGAAACACTGTGTATTGAGCAGGGAGTGGTGCTTTCTTGCAGGTTTGCCGAGTCGAAGGTTCGATGGACTTCTCGTGTGCTCTGGATGGCAGTCGTGAGTCAGTCAAGTGTCAAGTAAAGTCGGCGGAATAGCGCGAGCTCCGGTGTGGGGAGCAAACCATTTCTTACAAATCATCGCCGAAGTCGCAACCACTACTTCGTACCTTTCTATTTACAGTACTTAACTTCAGTTTCTTTGGTTGTATCCTTAGTTCCGTATTTTTCCCACTGATGATAGGAACGAGAAAATCGATTCTGGGTTTTCAATAATATTTTTTTCTTAATTTTGTATTTAGCGCTTTCGGGTGTTATCATTTTTATTTTCTTATTTCAGCACAGAGTTATTATTTCAGTCACTGGTTCTGGGTTTGGACAAAAAAAGAGTTCTATAAAAATAGTAAAAATAAATGCATGGTTCGCGTCAGACTCGGCGAGAGGCCGAGTTTTCCACATCCGTAGGAACACCACCACCCTTCAAGGATCAAGGCGCAGATGCAGCTCCTGAAGCGGTGGGAGCTGAGTAGATCAGCTCACAAGCAAATGGTCAAAGACCGATAATCCCAATCACTGCATCCATGTTTTCATCATGCCAGGCCACAAGAAAAAAAGTACCGTAATTCTTTAAAAAGTATTGTAATTCTATGGTGCATTCTATGGTGCATTTCTACGAATAGTTTGCATGTATGGATGCAGTTTTCGGTCTTTGACCACTTTGTCGTGGGTCTGATCTACTCACCTCTGGAGCTGCATCTGCGCCTTGATCCTAGAGCACTTTCCTTTGTTTATAATTTTTTGGAATGTTGAGTACAGAAGAGAACAACAAGGACAATCAAGGCTTGTTTGCTGCGACTTGAAGTGTCATGACCTCGCAATCCTCAGGTAACATACGGTACACTGGGTACACTTTCCGGTTGGAATTTTGAGTATAATATTTCAGTTTATTTTCTTCTTTGCGGTGCTTTTTCTTCTTATTTACTTGTGTTCTTGTAACTGCTTGAGTTATTTCATTCCATCGCTATATGCTCCATGTGCATTGTATCACAATTGAATACATTATTTGCCCGTAAAAGTGGCCCTCGCTTGTAGCCCGCGATGCTCTAACCACTGAGCTATGGTGTAGTCGTCATCCCAGCAGGGACCGTTCAACATTTTCTTCAGACTTCGTAACTCACACTTCCTGTGAATCCACACAGGCGGTTGGGACGCAGCCCTCTCTCTCTCTCTCTCTCTCTCTCTCTCTCTCTCTCGCTCTCTCTCTCTCTCTCTCTCTCTCTCTCTCTCTCTCTCTCTCTCTCTCTCTCTCTATGTATCTCTATTTCTCTCTCTCTCTCTCTCTCTCTCTCTCGCTCTCGCTCTCTCGCTCTCTCTCTCTCGCTCTCTCTCTCTCTCTCTCTCTCTCTCTCTCTCTCTTTCTCTCTCCTTCTTTCTTTCTCTCTCTCTCTCTCTCTCTCTCTCTCTCTCTCTCTCTCTCTCTCTCTCTCTCTCTCTCTCACTGCAACCGACACACTTCACGTACAAACTAGCACACGGGGAGCCCCAGTCATAAAATATTCACTGTTTTGAGGGAAAGACGCAAACGGGAAAAGTCTGAAGAAAAAATGACTGTCACCACCACACTGACTGTCACCATCAGGACTAGCATGATGGTTTTTTAGTATAATGTTTCGAACATCCGTGATCAATAGGGTGATAGACACACACCTGGAAATGATCTATAAAAGCATGTGCCTTCCGCAAAGGTTGAAAAGTGTGTAAGCGTTATCCTAGGATTGCATGTGTCCGATGTCATATCCAGTAAAGCATTCTGTCGACCGACCAATTGTGCCCACGAGTAGTAATCATTTACTGTAGAGTGAGAAACTTTCGCTAGAGATGATTAAATTTCGCTATGTTCGCAACCATCACCCATACGCGAATTCAAATCGCCGCAAACTGTTCTGTACATTTATTGTGGACAGTAACAGGTCCAACTGAAGAGATAAATCGCCAAAGTTTGTCATCGTGAACCAGCTCAATTCACGATAACGCAAACTTTGCGCGCCGAACGTTTATCCCTTTACACTACACCTACATGTAGGTCGGTGATAGCTTTGTACCAAACTGTGAGATTGAGTCACGTGACGAAGTGAGTGCTGCATCACAGTAACTAAAATGTATGGACGAATACTGCTATAGCGTCCTGCCCTCTCTGGCTGCAGGGCTAGAGGCCTCTCAGTCTTGCAGTAGCGGCGGCGTAAATTTAAAGGGGAAGTTAAGGCAAAAATTAAAATTTCACCAGTTGTAGTCTTCGGGGTGCTGAGTCGAATAGTCGTGGTCCGAGGAAGCTGAGACGCTCCCTTCCTACTTGAATCCCAATCGAACTCGCGCACTTCCACCGAAACTGGGTGACTGCGCCCTACTAGATGGGGATTTGTATGCAAAATGTCATTAAAAGCGCCATATCGTTCTTATAAAAGCACGGATGACCGCGATTGGCCCATATGTTGTAGTCTTTTGGACGCTCAGTCGATTAGTTTTGGTCCGAAAAGGCTGCGATGCAGCGTTCCTCCTTTATTCCCACTCGAACATGGTTGAAGAAGCGGTCACGTGCTCCTGCGTACACCAGTCACCTGGTCACCGTGCCTGCAGGGTACAACTTACTAGCCTGTTTGACCTTTTTTGGGTGCAGTCCTGTCACTCGAGTTGAACCTTGGTGTGAAAGTTGTCGCCTGCTGGCGTGGTGACCAGGTGATTTGGGCACCCAGGAGCACGTGACCGCTTCTTAAACCATGTTCGGTTGGGAATAAGGGAGGAACGCTGCATCGCAGCCTTTTCGGACCAAAACCAGTCGACTGAGCGTCCAAAAGACTACAACATATGGGCCAATCGCGGTCATCCGTGCTTTTATAAGAACGAAATGGCGCTTTTAATGACATTTTGCATACAAATCCCCATCTAGTAGGGCGCAGTCACCCAGTTTCGGTGGAAGTGCGCGAGTTCGATTGGGATTCAAGTAGGAAGGGAGCGTCTCAGCTTCCTCGGACCACGACCATTCGACTCAGCACCCCGAAGACTACAACTGGTGAAATTTTAATTTTTGCCTTAACTTCCCCTTTTTAGTAGTAGTAGTAGTAGTAGAATTTATTATTTTACTAGGGAACTCCCAACAGGCGTTGCCTTTTTACTGGGAACCCTAGGAATGACTTGGTGCTTGTGACAAATGCAGAAAGGGCCTTAGCTTGACGACATCCAGGTGAAAGCATGTTCCATCTGTCTGCTGCCAAAAATGAAATAGCATTCAGGCCGTAACGCTCTGGGTAGGTTCAGAGCGGCTGAAGCTTGACCGCGGGTAGCAGCATTTGTGCGGCATGATGCAGAGCGGGGGTAAATATCGTGCTTAAAAGAGGACTGGTGCAACGAGATAGACACCTAAAAACAAACACAAACAGCTTCAAGTTTACACGGCGAGAGAAAGTATACAGGTTATATTTGGTGAGAATGAAATCGATAGAAGTATACTGATCATGGCCAAACACTCGCCTTAGGCACCTATTGCTGGTTGACTCAAGTTTGTCTCTGAGTTTAGCAGACAAGCAGTGGCATAGTCCAAGGTACTCTGGACAATTGTCAGGTAAAACATGCGGCGGCCGGTCATGGAGACATCGCGGCGCCCGTGGCGGAATGAGGCAACCTTGCACTGTGCCTTTGCGCACACACGCTCAACCTGCTGCTCGAAGCTGAGCGACGAGTCCAATACGAGGCCAAGGTACAGAACATGGCTGGACTCGGGGATTACGGTGCCTTTGCAGGTGATGCTGGGGATCACGCCCCCCCCCCCCCCTTTAATTAGGAAAGTGAGATTGAACACAACGATCACAATAACACAATGATCAGTTTCGCGCCGCACCTCCGAGACAGCTGCTTACTCCTTTATAATTATTACGTTACTAGCTCATCACTAGCAGAGTCTCAGTCGCATCCCGCTTCACGTTTGATGCTTGTGAACGTCGTACAGGATCAGACACGCGTCGCAATCAGGATGGCACAACAGCTGCCAAGATGACACAACATCCCATGCAGAGGATCTAGAGTCTCGTTTTCTGAAGAGCATGACGGTGGTCCGGGTGGTTATGCACGCTCGCAAATGCCAATCTGCCCATCCGCTTGGTCTCCTCGCTTCCTCTTGGCCTGAAATAGAAGAGGCGCGCACAACATGAATGGTTGGGCTGTGAAAAAAGGAAAACGCAGTGGTGATGAACGATGAATCAACAGATTCTTTGATCTGCATCTCTGGCAAATTGTTCAGCACTATAATTATGCTGCCAGTACCCTGAGCTGACTGTATGCCTTAACCCTGAGACAATTTGAATCATACATGTATATAATTGTGATACATGTACATGTAGCATGATCGCATCAATTGGATTATCCTTCCTCGAGAGCCCGGACTCACGCCGTCAAGTCGCGCTATGACTATGAGTATTGATCAGAAGTCGGAAACGCTTCCTCCCTCCCCCCCCCCCCCCACCGCATTTTCACTCACGTCTGTCTTGGTTTGCGGCTGGCAGGTCGCGCCAACCTAGTGATTCTTGGCGCAACACGACCTCACGGGCTAGGACTGGTGGAAACCGAGTGCTTGATACCGCACTGCCTGAAGAACTCAAGTCGACCAGTTAAGGCTTCTTGTCGCCCCTGTTTGTCAGCGAAGGTACTCTGAGAAACGCTGCTAGACACACTGCGTTCAGCTAGGCTGATGCACGCGCCCGATCCCAAACACGCTGTTTGTCGTTGTCTGTAGAAAGCAGGGGCTGACCTGGGGTAGCTCTCCAGATTGTTGTCTCGCTTGTCTAAGCGAAAACGGGGAAGTATTAGTTTAGCTCTAGCTCCATCATCGTCGACGGGTACTGCACCTTACACTGGCCAGGCTGGCGAGATAATCTGTGCGGACCCTGCAAGATGCTTCGCCACACAGCTATCCGCTCAATGGCGATTGTGATGATCCTCTGCTGGATGATGTCGTCATGCCTAGCATCGACACGTAAGTACAATTAGAATCAACTGAGTGGGTTGTACTATGTTTTTTGCTGAGCTAGTCTGTTCCTAAAAACAGGAGTTTGTGTACAGACTATGCCTGTCTATGTGAATTCGTGTCATCGAAGTACCACGTTACTGTAAAAGGAAAATACAAGCATGGAGTGTTGTGTAGATCAGAAAGGGGAGTTTGGATTCAAGCTCAGTGTAAGCCCGTGTGCAATGATCCTCGCGATTACCGGTAACTGTTAAACACCCTCGATCATGCCTGAGAATAATAAAAATCGTTAACGCTATTTTGTTAAGTTGAAAGTAATTTGAAATCAAATAGTGACAAGGTCTGGAGAGTGTGTTGGTTGCTATTCCAAAGGTTGACTGTACGTGTTCCATGCTTCAAGTACGGATTTGTTGATCCAAATCCCAACCAGACGTGGAACGCTCTTGAAGTGATGCCTGTGGGCTAGCCAACACCGCCAAAGCACAGTATTCGCAGGTGGAGCTATAGCTAGCAAGGTGCAACAGTAGGCGTGCATGAAACTGTCCCCGGGGAAAATTGCAATTCCGCGGCCGCGTTTTTTTCCGCGTTTTTTGCGATTTTTTAAAAGACCGCGTTTTCCGCGATTTTCCCGCGTTTTTTGAACTTTTTTGTTACTCTACACGTACACACAGTGCACTGTTCGGTCAGCAACTTCTCATCGTGGCGGCTTTTTACTCAAATATGACGAGTGCTTACACCAGAGACTTGTAACTGATTGATTTCACTACAAACTCACTGAAAATTGCCGCACATCAATATTATTCACCGCATATTTACCGCATATTTACCGCAAATTCACCGCAAATTATGCCATATTATGCCGCGTTTATCCCAGCGTTTTTTGCGATTTTTTTCCGCAATTTTCCCCGGGGACAGATGAAAGGAATGAGCTTACTCTGGTTTGATCTTTGTTGTGGTACGCGACCTGCAATTACTTGGACAGAGGTGTGACCCCGGTCATGAAGTATAACTTATTTCACTCTCTGATTGTTAATCGCAGCCTGGTGACCATGTTGACGGCTGCTGGCAAGAAAACTAGCACTTCGCAGCCGCGGCATGGTCTCAGATTGGGAGTTAGAGCTGGGAGCCACGTCCACTGAGCTAGCGATTCTTTCGATTGCATGTCGGAGTTTCCGGTGAGATATAACTATGTCTAGCCCTCGCGATTTACGCGATTTCATGCTCGAACACAGCATTTTTTTAAAGTTCAATATTCTAATGAAGCTGTACTTGATGCAGCTCATCCAAGGCCCTTCAGGCCTTTTTTCATGCTCGAACAAGAAGTGCCTTGGATATTTTCCTCTCACCGTCTTAGACTCTCAGCGATGGAGAAGCTGTTAGAGTCTTTGCGTGACGATGATCAGGCGGCTCGCCGCCTTGCCCACGTGCCGGCCGATGCGGTCGAAACCCCCTGAGCCGTGGATGCGGGCGTGTGATGACACCCCAAGATGGGCCGGGTGCTTTTAGTGTTTTGCGTCCACGCGAGTCACGCCGTGACTTTGGGTCGTGTGATGTTTCTGGCGAAGCCAGGACACGAGTGGCTGGTGGCTCCAGCCCGGCACCTTGTCGGCACCATAGTGCGTCCTTAAATGTGACGAGCACTACCGGCCTAAACGGCCTGAACGGTCTCACGACCTGCTTGGCCTAAGTGCCTACGAGTCCGGCGGACACTGTTGCCAGTGCCTCCGAGTGTGAGTCTGACTGTTCTCAGTCAAAGACCGGCATACTCCGACTCAGATGAGGGTGAGCACTACTCTAGTCTCTAGACTAGTCTAGTTCTAGTCAGAGCTCAGATGCTAGTGCCGACTCGGAGTCCTCACATCAGGACAGTGTTACTTGCCACCACCTCGGGCGTAGCACGCGGGCCAAACGGTCCCAATCACATCCACCTCACATGTCTGCTGTATTGCTGCTCCATATACATTGTTGCCGCAGCGGCATCTTGATGTGATGGTCTGATGTTGTAACAGTGTACCCATTTGCTAGGCCAGCTTGGTGCGTTCCCGTGGAATTTGCCGGGGCACCATATTTGTAACGGCGATTCCGTTTGCTGTTGCCGTGGCCGTATTTGTCACATGATTGGTGCATTCCCGTTGAAGTTGCCCAGCCGGGCACCACGTTTGTCAGTTGTGCCTGTTTGAAGTTGCCAGGCCAGCTTGTATTGGTGCGTTCCCGTTGAGTTTGCCGGGGCACCATGTTTGAAACGGCGTTCCCGTCTGCTGTTGCCGGGGCCGTGTTTGTATTGGTGCATTCCCGTTGAAGTTGCCCAGCGGAGCACCACATTTGTCAGTTGTGCCGCTTTACAGTTGCCAGGCCAGCTTGCATTGGTGTGTTCCCGTTGAGTTTTCCGGTCACCATGTTTATAACGGCTTTCCCGTTCGCTGTTGCCGGGGCCGTGTTTGCATTGGTGCACTCACGCTGAAGTTGCCGAGCGGGGCACCACGTTTGTCAGTTGTGCCTGTTTGAAGCTACCAGGCCAGCTTGTATTAGTGCGCTCCCGTTGAGTTTACCGGGGCACCATATTTGTAACGGTGTTCCCGTTTGCTGATGCCGGGGCTGTGTTTGTATTGGTGCATTCCCGTTGACGTTGCCCAGCGGAGCACCATGTTTGTCAATTGCGCCTGTTTGAAGTTGCCAGGCCAATCCTGTAACGCGCACCCGTTTGCTGTTGCCGGGTGACATGTTTGTCAATTGTGCTTGTAGCATACTGCCGTGATGTGCAATTAATAACAGGCCGCCGGAGCTGGTCAGGTTATTACCGGACCAACTTTTCAGCCACGAACACGTGTTTCCTGCTGTGGAGGGCAGGTGTACCCGTCATACCCTACACAAAGTATAACGGCCATAATACTACCGGACCACTCACACGCTGCATCCGGCGCCGGTCCTGAGTAAGGCGATAATAATTACGAGCCATGCATTGGTTTGTTTTGCCAATGGCTTTTTGTGGTACACGGCAATTTGCTATCATTCGTGGCATTTCACAGAGTGACGAATGTGTGAAGACAAAACAAAAAGAAAAGAAATAATTTTAATAATGGCAAACCCCGGCCCCCACAATTATCAACCTCCGAGCGCTGAACAGCTATCTGTAGTATCACCACTTCGCGCTGGAGTCATTGAAGACAGTGCCGGATCACCTGCAGCTAGGGGATGTGATGATCGGGATAGACTTAAGAGATGTTTATTTCTCCAGTCCAGCGGCTCGATCGTCAGTTTCTCCAGTTTTCAGTGGCATCAACAGATTTCCCAGTTTAACTGTCTACCCTTTGGCTTGCGCAGTGGTCCCAGAGGCCAGAGTATTCACCAAGACTGACTCTGCACCCTGTGGTGAAGATGGTACGTTCGCTCGGCCTACACCTGGTTATTTACCTCGCCGACGTATTTATCATGGCACAGACAACGTCCGACCTGTTTCGCCCTGTTGCTACCATTCTTCATCTGCTGATTGGTCTTGGGTTCGACATCAACTGGACGCAGTCGTATCTGATTCCCACCAGGCAGATACAATACCTGGGTATTCAGGTCAACTCCGTCACCATGGAGTTCTCATTGTCAGACTCGAAAGCATCCACGCTTCAACAACAATGTGCGCGTCTGCTGGCTGCTCACACCGTATGTCTTCGGGGTATTGAGTCAATTGTGGGCATGATGGTGTCCACCATGGTTCCTGCATCACTTAACTATCGTCGCTTGCAGTGTTTGAAAACCACGTTCCTACGGCAGGGTCCCTTTTACACTTACAGATTACTCTCAGTCATGAGTGCCATGCCGAGATTCATTAGTGGATAATGCCAATGTCACCACAGGCGGCTGATGGACATCTGCCGAGAAACAGCTTCACATGAATGTCCCCAGCTTCACATGAATGTCCTGGAACCGCTCACAGCCCAGTATGCTGTCCAGTCGCTAGCGCCTTCTCTATACCAGGGCAGTATTCTCCTGCAGCTCGACTAACGTGTGGCTGTTTCCTGTTTGCCTCGCACTGGCAGCCGTTCATCACCGACATTAGACAGGATAGCTGCCACGCTGTGGGAGTGGTGTCAGTCTGCTCAGAGATATCACTTTGATTCCCAATATCTACCTGATGCAGTGAATACAGTTGCCGATTATCACTCTCGCCATCACACCGATACCAGCGACTGGATGCTCGACCGGTCAGTTTTCCAGGATCACCAGATCATGTGACCGAGTACCTGCGACCTGTTTGCATCTCGCACTAACTTTTGACTGCACACGTACGTCAGTTGGCGCCCATATGCACACAGCCCGCATGCCTTCCGTCTCGACTGGTCCTGCCTGCAAGTCTATGCCTTCCCTCCAATCTATCTGATTGGCAAATGCCCGGCCAGGGTTGTTCTACAGGAGATCCAATCCATAGTCATGGTCACTCCGCTTTGGCCCGGCCAGGCTTGGGTTCCAGCTCTCTTGGCACTAGTGGTGGACATTCCGCGTGTGCTGTCAACCTCTCCGGTCTTGTTCGCTGGTCCAGATCACAAAGTTCACCCGTCAGTACAGTCAGCTCACTTCACCCTGGTCGCATGGAAACTCTCCAGGCTAGCAACAGCCGCAGCGGAGTTTCGGACGACCCTGCCAACCTACTCTTGGCGTCCTGGCGTTCCCTCACCGACTGTGTGTATCAGTCGGCATGGAACACATGGTGTGATTGGTGTGCCACACGGCAAATTGCTTCCCTGGGTGTTCTCTCAGAGGTCCTCGATTTTCTGACCTCTTCATTCCGTCTGGCTCGACTGTATCATACGCTAGGGTTGTACCGGTCAGCCATGTCAATGACGCTTCCTCCCATCGATGGCGTTGTGGTTGGCCCGCATCCTCTGGTGTCTCATATGCTACCTGGTGCATACCAGTTCCGTCCTTCTCAGCCGTGCTATGGCAGCATGTGGAATGTACAGGCAGTCCTGGATTGGTTCCGGAACATGTCCTTCACGCATGAGTCTCTCAAAGAACTGACTCTCAGGTTGACTATGCTGCTGGCTCTGACGGGTGCCCGGCGTTGCTCTGAGCTGCAGAAGCTCGATGTTCGTTTTATGGACATTATTGTCAACGCTGCTTCATTTGGGATCCCCACTTTTACCCAGAATCAGCGCGTCGGTGATCCAGCCAAGCAGTTTGTCTTCCCTGCTTGCCCTCAGCACCCTCCGTTGTGTGTGGATGCTCTAAGGCAGTATTCTGCTCGCACACAGAGAGAGAGAGTTTCCCGCCCGCTGCCGCCGCGTCTGCCAACCCTCTGCTGCTGTCGCTCCGACGTCCTCACAAGCTGGTCTCACCGAGCACCGTTGCCGCTGAGGTGGCTCCTCACTTCCATGTCGGATGCTGGTGTGGACACCATCGTTTTTCACGGCGCATTCCACACGTAGTGCGGCCACCTCCGCTGCCTGTCGGAAGGGAGCCTCTGTACCCGACATCCTCTGGGCCACCGCCTGGGCGCAATCCTCTATATTCCAGAGGTTGTATTCTCGTGATGTTTCACCCTCCTCCTTCTGATGGCACCACCTTCGGTGCGACTGTCCTTGGCTGACAGTCTGTTATTCCGCCGCTCATGATTGCGGCCGATAGGGTCCACGGCTTCAGTCCGCCGTGTTCTTTTCTCCTACACATTTGGGTTTTTCTCAGACCTTTTCCTTTCCAAAGGTCCTGTATATACCTGGTGCACCAGTTTTTCCCAGGTGTTCCCACTCTGGAGTTTGCATTGTCCGTTAATTCTGCATAGTTGACAATGCTAAGTTGTATTCCATTTTGGTATGATCTACTTCACTCGCCGTTCCGTGCGTAAGTTTTATGATAATTCCATCTGTACTCAGTGATGGTCATTCGGTGGTCTGTGCCTGGCATAGTGTGGGCTGATTATGCTTGTTTATCATGCCACGCACCTTTTACTAGAACTTTCACTGAGTCCTTGTGTGGACAGTGTGATAGTTTCTTGTTTCCGCTCAGGGTGCGGAACCGACTTTAAACAAGACATAGCTATATCTCACCGGAAACTCCGACATGCAATTTCCCATTTCACAAGCAATGGAAAATTGTGTAGTGAAGTGGGAATTGTATAAGGAGTTGGAGGTGAGATATAACTATGTCCCACCCACCCACCCTGTTTGGGTTTGTTCTCCATGAAAATAGGCCTGAAGGGCCTTGGATGAGCTGCATCAAGTACAGCTTCATTAGAATATTTAACTTTAAAAAAATGCTGTGTTCGAGCATGAAATCGCGTAAATCGCGAGGGCTAGACATAGTTATATCTCACCTCCAACTCCTTATACAATTCCCACTTCACTACACAATTTTCCATTGCTTGTGAAATGGGAAATTTCGAACGTGAAATCTCACGGCCAAATGGTCCTCGCGTTGCAGCGTGATACTTCAACACGACAGAGCTAGAGCACCAACTCACAGCGATAAAAGCCGTATCAGCGCACTTTTTTCTCACGTTCGAAATGGAAAAAAAAACGTGAAGTGTAAACTCCCCATTACTTGTAACTTAGGGGCGAGCAACACATGGCCATGGGTTCGTAGATTTAGATCTGCTCCTTATGATTTTTACAGCAACGAACCCGCCTTCATTCACGTCATCTAGAAGGTATGATTTACACACAGTCATGTACTTGTACTCCGCGATCCGAAGTAGGGTAATTCTATGGTGCATTTCTACGACTAGTTTGCACGTATGGATGCAGTGAAAGGGATTGTCGGTCTGCAACCAATTTTTGGTGGGTCTGAGCTCCTCACTTCTGGAGCTGCTTCTGCGCCTTGATCGTAGAGGGTGGTGGCGTTCCTGCGGATGCGGAAAACTCGGCCTCCAGCGGAGTGTCACGCGAACCGCGATATTTTTGCACGTACATGTACTACTAGTAGTAGTATTGCATGACATGACTGCTGCCTTTGTCTTTGTAGGAAACTATTGAACGGAAACGAGACAGTCGTATCGACTTCGAGTTTGATTTTAAAGTTGTTTGCTCACCATTTCGAAGCTCGCGACTTTACTTGTCTGACTCACGACTGACATTCAGAGCACTAGAGAAGTCCGCCGAACCTTCGACTCGGTCACGGACACTTGAATGGTCTCTTCAGGGCAATGTTCTGCTTATGGTTGTGGGAAAGTTTTGAAGCAGTTTATGAAACTGAAGAAAGTTGAGATTTCTTCCAAAACAACAAAAGTTGCGAAAAAACGTGGCAAGCATCTTTGGGAAAGGGCTTGGCACACGGGGGTACTCATGGATGCGGCTAGTGGAGTTACTCGGCTCTTGCGCCAGTGGTTGCGAGATTTATCAGCTCACCCCCACCATATCATGCCCACTGTTCGGCGCTGCATCGGCCGCTAGGCTAGGGTTAGCAACCGTCGTTAGCAACCGTCGTTAGTTCCCTTCGCGAATTCGGCAAGGGACACGATATTTTACTCTCTTCTTTTGACCAACGCTTCCTGGTACTGCTCTGAAGAGTGGCCCACGGGGGAAACCATATGTGACAGTATGTGTGCGTGTGCCAGTGAGCTGATGTGCTTATTATCATTATTATTCTGTTCGCTCTGTGCTAAAAGCGAAGTCATCAGCTGTGCTTGAGGCAACGCCCGCATGTGCCGGTGAAATTCGTCTCCTTCTGAAGAGAAGCGCTCTAACTCTGGTCGCACCAGCAGCAGCGGTGAGCGAGGAGTTCGTCTCGCATGATGGTGACCCAGCATCACATGTGAAGGAGCAAGCAGGACAAAATGCCGTGAAGGTGAGCTACAGGGAGGGCCAGGTTCAGAATCTTAGGATCTGCGTGTTTCAAATCATAGTGCCGTAGACTCTCCTGATGTAGTTTTATTTGAAGTCCTGCGCATTCACACACCGACTACAAATACAATACAGCATGGAAGCGAATGTGAAAATGCTGTATTTTGTGCCACCTCGTCAGCAGGTTTGTGTGGCAACAGTTCCTCAGTTTCCCTGATTGTATCCACACAGTGTCTTCTTCAATATGTGGAGGCTCCATCTCTAACAGGCATCAGTTAGCAAATACCTCTCACACATAAGTAAAGGGGGGGGGGGCGGGCTCAAAAAGAAAGCCATTTTCAATTCAATTGGAACCTCCTAGAGCACACTTTTCGTACTGCTGTCAACTGCATACTCACAGGAGAAGCTGATCTTAAAATCAAAGCAGAGGTCTCTCCGGTACATATTTGCACCCAGCCCAAAGTTCAAACGAGTTATCCCCAGCGCAACCGATAAGTTGATTGTTGTGCGCTAGAGATCAATGTGGCTAATGAGTATTCTGTTGAGGGGGGGGGGGGCTATGAATGATACCATCCAGATATCATCCTCCTTTAGCACTGTCAAGCACATGCAAATTACATAAGGCAATTTGCAAGTGATTCTGGGGGGGGGGGGGGGGATACGTTGTAATGAACTATATTTTTTACTCTTCAGGTTATCGGTCCCGATCAATGGACATTACGCTTGAAAATCTCAACATTACTTTCCATCATTTGATGACAATCATTTTAAAAGTAACCTGAAGGCTTGTGTATTGCGCAATAGTTTTCTCCATTTGTTGTGCTTTGATCAATGGACAGCAGTCTTGAAAATCCTCAAGACTGTTGCCCATCAAATGATGGATTTTCCCCTGACCTGGAAAGTGGATCCGAGAATGTCGGAACATTTTGCTGTGGACATGGAAGTCCGTTGAGAAGTCTAGCGGCCACGGGTCGCTGGTCTTGCCGCCGTTTGAGCAATGCTGCTCCATTTTCACAACGTAATTGTGAGCTACAGTGCGTGTAGGCGCTAAGGCAGTATGGGCGCCGGCGGATTTCAATGTCCACAGCAGCAGTTTTGTGTTGTATGCCATTATGCTAGCGATTGTTTGTGCCTTGCCGTTCCAGGAGCAACGGAACGTCTCGGTGGTGTTGGTTATCATTGTCAATTCTACGCCCGTTTTCTCTCAAGTTCGAAATTGAAAGAACATGAAGTGCACACTCTCTATTATTTCTTGTCATTGCTATGATCTTGCCGTTCCAGGAGCAGAGGAACATCTCAGCGGTACTGGTTATCGGTGTCTCCTACGAGCCAATAGAGGACACCCAGCAGGATGACGTGGCTTACAGCAAGGAGTTCTCCGGTCCGACATCTTCCATAGCCGATAGCTTCTCACTGCTTTTACGGTAAACTACATGTATCGTCATACTTCAGTTCCGTATTTTCCAGAGTACATGTACATGTACAAGGCGCACTCAGATTTTTTGTAGAAAGGGTCTGCTCCGATCGTCGGAGCTCGCGCTTTCTGCCGACACTTGATTGACTAACAACTGCATCTGGAGCACACGAGAAGCCAGTTCGTACTCAATTTTTTTGCCACAAAATACTCACATCTACCCTTTGTTTGGTGAATTATGAGTGTTCTAAGTGCGACTTGTACTCGGGAAATTACGGCACGTATTCACATAACGTTTGGTGGGGAGTTGCATGGAAAATGTATATTCAAATGGAAACGCTTGACAGACTTCAGCCGTTTTAAAGTCATAATATTATGATGCCTAGTGGGGATGGAACCCAGTGCTACGATTTCCGATACTATTGCTTGAGCAATCTGTTGTTTCTGTGTTTGTAGTCTTGTAGTGTCTTATGATAAGATAGAATCCCAGAGGCCCGGCATATCGGGGGCTACTGGTGCGATGGCCGTACCTGGTTTATGGTGTGTGTGTGTGTGTGTGTGTATGTGCGAGCGCATGTGTGTGTGTGTGTGTGTGTGTGTATCAGTGTGTGTGTGTGCGTGAATGTGTGTATGTATGCGGACGTGTGTGTACATGTATGCATGTATTTTATCTTTGCATGTCTCATTCTAAGGCATCTCCCTCCTGGCAAGCAGTACCGCCTTCGCATCAGAGTTGGTCACCGTTCTCCCAGCTCCACTGTCTGGGATAGCTATGGCTCTGCGGTGGAATCATTCACCGGCACCGTGTATGCTGAACCGGGTGAGACAGACACACACACACACGCACACACACACACACACACACACACACACACACACACACACACACACACACACACACACACACTTGTACTTGTACTTGTTGCTCACTGCCAAAACTGGTCACGTGGGTCTCCCCGGGAGAGGGGAGAGAGACTCAAAAGGAATCTTGGAAAGATGACTCAATTGGCTATTGAACCGCCCAACGGCCGACACCCCCTGAAATCCCCAAAACTCTGGGTGGACTTGAAAATGATCCCACTTATGGGCTCACCACACCTCAGTAAGTGGGTGAGGACAAGGTGCAGAAAATAGATTGACGGCATCAGGGTATCCGCATACACACACACACACATACATACACATACATGTACACATGGCCCGAATCATGTACTGCATAAATGGCCCAGAATCTGCGGAAACCAGGCTTAGGGTGAAAATCATTTTTTTGAGAAAATGATGTTTTGTAAAAAGGTTGTGTCGCGTGGACGATCGAGTGCAGTGAAGTGGAACCAAAGAGAATCTCTCTTGTTTGAACAAGTAGCAGTCATCATGGTCATGGCAGGAAGGGTTTCAGCAGTCAGGGAAGTCAAAGGGCTTCCGGTAGAATATTCCCTGCTACTCCTTTAGTCACAACGAAGAGTTTTTGAGCTGATCGAACGGATTCCATCTCCTACACTCAGGGATGGCGAAATTTCTGCGCTAGCTGCTGCTTGCGGAAAACGGTGAAGAAATCGTCTCCAGTTAGAGTCGTGATGGCGATAGCGAGGAGAACCTGGACGACATCGATCCAGCCAATCGAAGTACGGAGATACTAGCTGTTTCTGGGCCTCACGCAAAGGGAACACGCGCAGCAGAGCTCATATGTTTGCAGCAAGTTCACGAGGAAAAAGGCTTGAAGCGCAGTGTGAAAACTGTTTTGAATTGAAGTCCTTGGCGATGAAGTGCTACTGAATGCCAGGCGAATGAGCGAGCAGATCGAGAGGCCCCCACTCGAGACTTTCCTCGCTGGACAGCTAGCTGCAAGGGATTGTACGGCGTGCTGATAGTTCACTTGCTGGTCAGCACCAAGCCGATACTGCAGCACGCTAGCACACTATGCGCTTACTATGAACAGTGGAACAGTTTGAAAGGCTGTGTTCTTGCTTGTTTCTGAACAGTTTTACTAGATTCACCCTTCAAAAGGTGCCATCTCAACTGGAGTCGGGTTTCCTTGTGGTGTGTGGCGCCAGAGAGAGATTCAGCCCCAGAATATACTGAGTGAGGAGCAAACAAAACGAGAGAGCTTGGAAGCTCAGGGCCCTACTACGCTATGCTTTTTTGCCTTGATTACCTAGACAAAAAAAAGCATAGGGATGTTATAAATTCTTTAAAAAATCCTTTTTTTTTTAAGACATAACCTGGGATTCGAACCCGCACTATCGCGCGCCCTGCATGCATCCCCCGATACACTTCGCATACATACTAATTCTTCCAAGTTGCTTCACGTTATGATCTTGCATTTGAAAGCCCTATTTGAATTATGCATTGTGGCCAGCCGTCTTTGATGGTGCGGTACGGGACAGGTACGATCGAGGGTAATACGACACCATCTACCGCCTTGATGACGGCAAAAAAAGCATAGGGATGTTATAAAATTTTCAATTCTCCTTTTTTTTTTAAGGCATATCCTGGGATTCGAACCCGCACTATCGCCCTACATGCATTCCCCCATACACTTCGCATTCATACCCATTCTTCCAAGTTGCTTCACGTTATGATCTTGCGTTTGAAAGCCCTATTTGAATATTGCGGCCAGCTGTATGTGGCCAGCTGTGTTTGCTGGTACGGTACGGTACGGGACAGATACGGGATAGCGCCAGGCGTGACACAAACACACAAACAAACAAACACACAAACACACAAATACCAAATTAAAGCTGTGTGGACCCTGGCTAGCGCCAGACGTTACTGAGGTAACGTCTTCTGCATAGCTACGGGAATAATATTAATTCATGCAGAACTGTGCATGGCCACTACAGCCTGCAGCACCAAGGGGCCACAACAAGCCTACCCCCACATGCCTACCTTGTCATGTCACCTTAGCAAAAATCATCCATGTCTCTTCCTTCAGTCTGGTGGATCTCTCTTCATTTCTTTCCTGTGATAACAATTTTGTTTTGTTTTTTTTGGATTTTTTAACACAATACCCTGGTGTGTTTGAGATACTTTTAATACCACTATGAGTCGACCCACACCTGTAATATTTTGTTTCCTGACCTCCCATGCCCAGTAGAAGCTGAAAATGGGAAAAGTCATTTTGTGAAATTTCACCCTAAGCCTGGTTTTCGCAGATTCTGGGCCAAATAATGTTTGTGTTTATGTATGTATGTCCTTCGGATCTTCCCAAGTTGTACATTGTACTGTTGAGATACCAAAATCAAATAAATCAATACCAATACCAATACCAATGCATGTACATATACAGTACTTTCCAGAGTGTCCGCAGCACTGGAGTATAATCTGTACAAGGATATTTTGTCATGAAATACAGAAATCTACCCGTTATGTAACTGCCAATTTGACCATCGTAGCAAAAGCCAGGTCAGAGAGTAGAAATAAACTGGGTATTCTACTACTTATAAACAGTAAAAAGTAACAAGGAACTACAAGTTACACTATAATGTCCACTGACACGACCAGCTACTAAACAATCAGCTCGTGGGATAACATTGCACAACACTATCCGGATTCATTATTTTACTACTCTCTGGTATAAGCCAAACAGATTTTTTTTTCGCGCAAATTACTGGTGTTTTAAAGGTATGTCACATACACTTGTACTTAAACTTGTTCATTGCTGTGCATGCAAGCACACATTCACATGCGTGTGTACTGTGTGTACAGAAAATTTCGTCGGTCAATAAGTTCGCCCAACTCCAAAGAAGGGGAGTTCGTCCGGTTGTAAATTTCGTCCATGGATCCTAAGAGTGTATTGAAAAGCTGGACAAATCGATACTCGTCCGGCATTTAACTTAGTCCAAAAGCTCCTTGGACAAAAAGACGAAATTAAATTCCAGACGAATATTTCTGCTTGTACAGTATGCACACAGAACAGCACATCACAGTGCCAGCACACACATATCACGGTGCCTGTACAAACAGGCATATGCGTCCACGTACGTGTGTCGCCTTCACAGCACATCACAGTGCACGCACACACGCATCGCACAGTGCACGCACACACACACACACACACACAGGCATGTGCATCCAAAGGGTACCCTGTATAAAGACTCACAGTCTGTGGGGATTGCCCTAGTAAAATAATAAATACTACTACATATCGCTTTTACACCACATCACAGTGCACGCACACACAGACACGTGTGTCCACATACTGAGTTGCCTTCCGACCCGTGGTATCCACTCCCCTTAAGGCACATTTTTTCCTAGTTCACATGCTGCAGCTACGATGTACATTTTCGCATCCATCTGCACTTCTTCACCATACATGTACCTGTCAAATGCTTCAGGACCTGCTGGTGTTGGCCAGGCTGGTCACGCGTATTGCCAGTCTCGACGACGGCCCGACGGAATATCCCGGCCGAAGAAAGTCTCCCGCGTACACCGCTCCACGTTCGCATCGTCAAGCCGTCGCCGCCGATGTTATCTTGATTACTACTACAGCGGCTACTACTACACATACTATTACTGCTCCTCAGGCTCTGGTTCACTGTAAGGATGTTGAAACATCACGTGTATTATTGCTGATGCATGTACAGTCCATTTCAAAACTATAGACGTGAAAAGGGTTTTTGAAATATTTCAAATTTGGCTTGAACTTTTTGAGAATTGTTTTCGGAATATTGCTCAGGTCCGCTCCACAATTACTCTCATTATAGTTTCTAAACGATTGGATAACAGACGCCCAATTTGGAAAAATTTATGCACAAAGTGATCACAGATTTTATGTGGTATAGATGCTGGCATAACGGTTTTTGCCTAGGTACGCGTCTATAGTTTTGAAATGGACTGTAGTTCTTGCGCAGACGTAATTTTTTTTTTTTCAGACGTAATTTAATATCTCAACACAACTTAAATGACGTATAGAAAAGAAAAATGGACCAAGGAACTACAAATTACGCTATAGTGTCCATTAACACCACCTGTTATTAAACAATCTATATAGGGCCACCTAGAATTAATTCGTTGTTTCGGGTCACTTCACTCATCTGTAACAGGATCGGTCGGTCGGGTTTATTTTTATTTTTTTATTTTTTTTATTTTTTTTATACATGTATATATTTATTTTTTATTTTTTATATATTTATTTTTGGTTACTGCCATGTAAATGCGCATATCGAATAGCGTTTGTCCATCAAACCAGTCGATCAAATCATGACTGTAGTCTAGACGATCCGGCGCAGTCATTGTCCAATCACAGACCCAGGTCCCCTCCAGGACCAGACCTTGGCCTCGCTGGCAAACGAGTCTGAGGACCAGCTCTCACCTTGAAAACGTCTGTCGAAGAGCGACGCGGTGGCGGAGCTGATGCGGTTTCAGGACCGATTGCGGATCGGAAGACAACATCGTCACCAAGCGCTTCATCCTATTATTTTATTCGGCTGCTTCTGAGGTCGATGTCTGGACTGCTAGCTATTAGGCGCGTGTACGTGTGTACATGTCAGTACATAGTCTAGTCATGTACATTTGCATGCACTATAAAAAAAAACATTGTGCGGTCGGGTGAAAAAAGACGGTCGGTCGGGTGACCCGAAACAACGAATTAATTCTGGGTGGCCTAGGGTAGTTATATTTTTGATTTTGTCCCCATATTCCAAGAATAATTCCAACAATCAACCTTGGAAGAGAAAGGGATAGAAACGTTCCGTTCTGAATATTATGTTTTTTCCCCAGGACTGGCGTGGATTGCATTGATCAGTAAATTGCTCTCTAAATCAGATAAGCTAATCTGTCCTTATAGACATGCAATCCTTCTCATGTTTCGCACAGTTAACTGCTTATAATATCCTTTTTGACTTTCTGCTCATGTATGTGTGTATGTGTGTATGTATGTATGTACCGGTGTGTATGTGTGTTGTGTGTATGGGTGCACGCGCATGTGTGCTTTTGTTTGTATGTGTATGTGCATGCACGTGTGTGTTTATGTGTATATGTGAGTGTGCACATGTGCACACGCGTACGCGCCTGTGTGTGTGTGTGCGTGCGTGTGTGTGTGTGTGTATGTGTGTGCGTGTGCGTGTGTGTGTGCGTGTGTGTGTGTATGTACGCGTCTATATCCCATGTGCGAACAGGAGTGTTGGAGGTTTGGTTGGTATAATTCTGGGCATTCTCGCGTTCATCGTTTTCTTTATTGTCCTGTTTATTTGGAGCCGCCGTGGATGCTGCGGACACCCTCCTCTCAGTGCACGTTTCAGGTATGTACACAGCATGACTACTGTATGCGATATTCATTTCCTCCTAGGGTGTTCTGCTGCTGTTGAATTCTTTATGATGGGTTTGACTGACTCCTATGTTACGCCATCTTACGATTACCGTAATTACCTGAATAATAGTTGCACTTTTATACACTGAACTTACGGGCCAACGAAACGGGTGCAACTCACAATCAAGCATAACTATTCTACTACTGAAGTGAATTATTTAAAATCTTGTAGGACGCGTCACGCAGCTTCATAAGTAGAAATTTGGTTTGTGAGCAACACTGGCTCACACTCAATCACTGCTTTTCACCAGAAACATATTTTAATTCAACGTTTCGAAGTGAATGGACCGTATGCGTGTTAAAACAAAATGGCGTCACGATTTATTGAAAGTGGTATAGTTGGTGGTACGAGTGTTCAAAACCATTTGAACTTCATACTGTTCGTCTTCTTTTTGACATGCTCTCTTTCCATCGTCCTTAGCTTTTGTTTGTTGAGAGCTGTTTTGGCTTTCTCCTATACCTATGGGGGATGCCAAGTGATGGTTTTGAGAGACTGGTGATGGCTGTGAGCGAGAGTTTGCCGATCGGCGTCGTCCTCGCTATAGCGATGAAAATACTAGTTACTGCGCACCTGGCAGATATCACAACACGTCGGAGCGTCCAGGAGCAAAGGAATCTTGGGTTTTCACTGGAATCTAGTTCCTCCAGCATCGTGTAGCCCACCGTCGGTGAATGGCGGTTCAGAAAGGTTGAACCTGGTCTTCTGCAGCATCTCGCAGTCCTGCGAGGCACACTGAATACACCTGTCATGTATTCTACAAATAAAAATCACGAAGTAGTGGACTTTATAGTGATGAGTCTATCCTGTATGCTGCAAAAGACGCAGGAAATGTGACTGGTGTCCGTACACTGGACGCCAATATCATCCCAGTCTTCTCCTGCAGGATCTGTTTGACATTGACATACCGGTATGCAGTGGGTCGACATTGGCCTGGTCTGGCAGCTATCTGCCTGGGTGGATGTAGCAGGTTTGCATTGGCGCGTCGTCCAGTCCGACATTTTCTTGTAACTGTGGAGTACCGGCAGGGTTTGAGAGGTTGCTCGTGCTGTGAACACATCTCTACTGCCTGTCTCGTCCTGGAAGTGCCGTCTCGCCGCTTCCTTGCTCTACAGTCACGCCGTTATTTCGCTTTGTTTCGTGGTGCAGCTCAAAACCTGCCCAAACAACTGAGCTCGCAACATGGTATGGACAAATTGCGCCACTCATGCTGGTTAACTAAATCCGGGATAGTCGAGTAAGCGAGTTCACTCCCTGGGCAATGGCAAGATCTGTTCAGCGCTGGCTATTCCAACCTCCAAGTGCATAGTCACCGATCGATCCATGCGATGGTGGTTTACCTACAAAGAGCCAAGGCCTACGAGTACTACTATTGGATGCTGTTTACATGCAGTCAACAAAATCAAAGTACCTCAGTATGCCCCAGAATAGGGCATGTGCATCTATAGCATGACATAACAGGGGTTCTGGCGGCACCTGTCAAACAAGCAGTAGCGACTAGTGCCAGCTACGTATTGGAGGCTAGCCGCTACAGTCTGTCACTGGAGATAATTATTATGTTCACTGTTTGGACTGAGCACAATCAATGATGCCCAATCAATCTGCCCAATGTGTGTTCTGTTCCACCTAATTATAACGTCCCATCGCATCAACCCTACTCCACGCACATGTCGTCACTCTAGCATGACTTGTGTTATTGTTTATTTTGATTCGCACGATAAATAGAGCACAATAAACGTTAACTTGACCGAAGGATAAAGGCGACTGCAGATAGAGGAACACATCGAGGTACAGGTACCGGCATCAATACAGTATCAGAGAGAAACAAACAAAAATGAGAGGTACGCAGAAAAAACTCTCGTAAGCCCAAGGGGAAGTGGTTGATGAGGGATGAATGCACTCTCCACGCTCATCTACACTGTTCGTGGAAATGCACACATACATACAATAATATACTTGAAGTACAACATAGCAATAGCATGCACAGAACCGAACAATTTCATGTTCACACATGCAAGCACAGACCTGAACATTAGTACCAAAAGCCGATACAGACAATATCCCCATACACACAGACGCACACACACAATGTCCCATGTATGCGCCCGTGGCGAGAAAAGCACGCAAATCTACAAATGCACTGGATGTGAACCCACAGATTTTCTCTTACAGCAACGATAGCGGATCTGATTCTGAATGAAACACACACACACACAATCGATGATGGCAGGTCCTGAAAGGACAGGCAGTGTTCTAGTAATGGGGAACAGAACTTCGAGTGGCGAGTGAGGTATACACACACACACGTGCGTGCGCGGGCACACACTAAAGTATTCAGAAATAGAATCAACATTGTAGTATTCATTGGTTGGGGAATGGAAAGGAAAATAAAACATTGCTGTAGGTTATTGTTGTAAGGACACTGGGAGCACAACAGAAAGGTAAGCAACTTGCTTTGAAGCAAAGAAAGTTATTATTCCACGGATCTCAGAAGGAAAGAACGTTCCAGAATGCTGCACTGGCAACAGGCGGCCTGCATGTGCGCGGCCCCTGCAGTCGGTCCAGCTGCCGGCCTTGCAGTGCTGAAAAGAATGTGCAGTACAGCATGTCACATAGTATCGCAGCCTGGACAAATAGGCGCTGGGAAGTCCTAGTTATGTGCTCACCTACACCACGATGCACCAATCTTCTGAGCTACTTTGGCAACAACTTTGTCCACTTGAGACTCCCATGGGCTGAGCCAGTTGTTGAGGGCTGCACCAAGGTGGACGGCAATGACCGCTGATGGCAAGGCAATCCATGACACACAGTCACTAGGGCATCGTCAACATGGCGCTGAGGCTGGATCGATAAAATCAACCTTTAGGCTGTCGCGGGGTTGACAACGAGGACGCTGTCTCGAAGCTAGTCAGTCAGCCTGGTCACCGCCATTGACGAACCAGTCGCCACCGCCAGCAGTGGCGGTAGGTTGTGACAAGTGTGGTGCAATATTGTCAGCAAATTCAGTACTTAGGATAAGATGAGTGACAAAGGGAACGTTGTTTTATAATATTGAAGTGAACAGGGATGATCACAAACCCTGCGCGTACTCCACCGTGAGTTACAAGAAAATTCCGGACTGGACGACGAGCAAACGCCAACCTGCTACATCCAACCAGGCAGATACTATTACGATAGCTGCCAAACCAGGTCAATGCCGACCTACTGCATAATGTCAATGTCAAACAGATCCTGCAGGAGAAGACTGGGGTGTTGGCGTTTAGTCACTGAGTGTACAGACACCAGTCACATTTGCTATGTCTTTTGCAGCATACAGGCTGAGACTCATCACTGTAGAGTCCACTACTGCATGAGTTCTATTTGTACAATACATGGCAGGCGTACACGGTGTGACTCGCAGGACTGCGAGGTGCTGCAGAAGACCAGGTTCGACCTTTCTGGACCGCCATTCACCGACGGTGGGCTACACGATGCTGGAGGAACTAGATTCCAGTGAAAACCCAAGATTCCTTTGCTCCTGGACGCTCCGACGTGTTGTGATATCTGCCAGGTGCGCAGTAACTAGTATTTTCATCGCTACAGCGAGGACGACGCCGATCGGCAAACTCTCGCTCACAGCCATCACCAGTCTCTCAAAACCATCACTTGGCATCCCCCATAGGTATAGGAGAAAGCCAAAACAGCTCTCAACAAACAAAAGCTAAGGACGATGGAAAGAGAGCATGTCAAAAAGAAGACGAACAGTATGAAGTTCAAATGGTTTTGAACACTCGTACCACCAACTATACCACTTTCAATAAATCGTGACGCCATTTTGTTTTAACATGAATATCGCGGATTATACTGTGAAAAAAATATTCAGACCGGATAATGGTTGTGCGACTTATATGTAGGACTCAGTATAGAGTCCATGCACTATTATGATGTCCAGCACCCTAGAGTCCATTGGTCCAAAATCCACTATACAGAGTCCAAAAGTCCACTCAGTTTTGATCCCCTATAAGGAGTACACTTTTTCTACAAGTCCCCTATTCACGGTCCAGGAGTCCAGTTTATCCAGTCACGCCGTC